TTCCGTATTTAAAATTCCATCACACAGAGAGAAATATTTGCATTTGGATTTCTTCGTGTTGCAATAAAAACTTCATTATCGAGCCGCAAAACATCTCTCTCAGCCTTCGTCTGTTGTTGCTGTGACTACAAACAAAGCTGGAAAATTGTATGCAAAAACTAAACTACATGGGATGCTTGCTCCTCTCCTTGGATCTACTACATCATTGTTTTGTTGTTATTACTTTGACATTAGGGAAAAGGAGGCTTTGGGGATGAAGAAAACATCAAACACACACAAACAGACACCAAAATACCATTTCTAGCGATTTCTCTTTGTTGTAAACACAGAAGACGGGGGGACGACGACTTATCCATAGCTGGAGCATTATTTGTATCTGTATTGTAACGTGGAGTACACTACACTCAATTTGTTCGTGTTTTGTTTTCTTGTTAACAGAAAAAAATGACCGTAATTCTTCTCTGGTCGAAAGTTTGTTGATATTGCGCTGCGCTGTTTGCGTCGCTGCCGACACAAGTATGTTATTGTTGCTTTACCGTTATAATTGCGATGTTTGTTTTGTTTGTTGGTATTGTACACCAGCCACACTCTTGCCTCTTGGTCGTTGGCAGTGGGTACAACACAACATTGTGGACTGCGACAACAATTATGGCAACGGCGGCGACAACCAAAACGAATGTCGACTTCGCTGCCAACGTCACTTTCTCATTATTTTTTTTCCTTTTTTCGCAGAGATGATTTGGTTGATTCACTTGTTTTTGTTGGAACGCATTTTCGCTTTTTATTCTTGAAATTTCCAATTGTACAAAAAAAATATTCGACTTATTACTTTTTCACCGAAGTATAAAAAAGAGGCATCACACAATACCGATTGAAAGATTTTTGCATTTTATTTCATTGTGACCTACACCACAAACACAAACAATTAACTTTGTTGCCATTGTTATTTGATCAACTGACTGGTGGCTGGTTGGCTGTGTGTTTTGGTTGTTCTGTTTGTGCTAAATTCTCAGTATTTTTTTCTTTTTCGTTTCTTTTTTTCTGGGTGCCAGATTTTCTTTACGCAGTAACAGCGCAGTAAAACCTTGAAATTATTTTTTTATTTCATCTTTATTTTTGCCGTTGCAATCTTTTTCTTCTTTCTTTTTCATTTACTTCAGCATAGCACTGACTTTGTACTTAAAAATAGCCACACCAAATTCAATTGAATCCTTGCCCCCACCATATTTACACACAATAGAAGAAGCAGAAGAAAAATGCACGGGCGGGAGCACAACACACACTCGCACTCAGATGAAATAACACATTCATCCTATAATTTCGATACAATTTCATACTTTTCCTCATTATTTGTTTTATTTGCTTGCGTTTTCCCCATTCACTGTGCTCTGTGTAACTTTCCTCACCTTATTTTTTTCTTGTATTGTATTTCTCTCACTCTACAACTTGTCACTTTTCTATTTTTTATTGTATTTTAATTATTCTTCACGAAAAATTTCAACCACGTTTACGTCCTTTTTATTGGAGGTTACATGCACGCAATTGTTAAACTCCATGATTTCGATGTCTGCAATTACTTTGCGGGAACGTCTACGGAAATATTTGCGAAACCCGTATTAAAATTTGATAGTTTTTAATATTTTTTCCTCAATGAATATTTTTTTCTTTCTTTTTTCCATGCACACTTTACGACAATACGAACGACGACAAATCATTGACAGACGATGAACGCTCGTACTTTGAACCGACCGAAATTAAAAACGTTCCACCTGCTACGAATGGGAAAGGAAAGAGAGAATGCCTAATAAAAAGGGAACTCAAAGCAAAATGGCCAAAGACGATCATTGATTACGAATGAGGTATGATGGAGAAGACATGGTCGATGAATGACTTTTGTTTAGAAGGAAAGGAGAAATTGACGGACGAAGCGTTAAGGAACTATGTGGCAACTATACTTCTGTGTTGAAGTTAGTCCACTTTTCCACAGGCATATTTTTATTTGGCAAATTTTTTGCCTTCTCCTTTGAAATTTTCGGTTGCTTTTCCACTAGCAAATTTTTCTTTGCTAAATTTGCGAATCAAAATACAAAAGAAAGAAACTCAATTTTAAAGGATTTTTTAATATTTTATTTATTTTTTTATATTTTTTATTATATAAATTGCAAAAATTAAAAGTTAAATTTTACTTGGACAAATTAAAGCAACAGGTTTGCAAACAAAAGCCGGCTGTGTGTCAGGAAAACGAATAGGTTAAAAAGGAAATGTCAACAAAATTGTTTGTTGACATTTCCTGCGTGTACCGCAAATTCTGAACAGGCAAAGTTTAGTTTTTCTTCCTCGAACCCCGCATCAAAACAAAAACATTTGTTTTTGTTTCGACCAAAGTTGGCAGCATTGCACATCGTATTCAAGTGGAAATTACGCACTTTGAAGTTAATCAAGACATCAGCTGTTATAAATGGACTACCTATTCATTGTGCCATGCCTCTCGCCTAGAAACTTAGAATTTGCCACATAAAAATTTGCCTGTGGAAAAGCAGACTTACTAAAGTCCACATTAAGGTGTTTTTACACAATTGATCTGTTGCAGTACTTTTTAATAGTAAAGCTAGTAAAAGTCCTGATTTAGATTACGCGAGTTTACTTGCGGCAAGTCTCGCCTCGTGCTGGTACAATAACAAGAAGTAGGTTAATGGCACCTGCCGGTTCCGGTTCAAGCCTGGTACAATAACAAGAAGTAGGTTAATGGCACCTGCCGATTACAATTTTTTTCTACAGTGTCCATAAAAAGCATTCATATGAAAATATTTCAGGGTTTTGGGAAGAAATATTATTATAATTATATTTGCGACGCCATATTGTGAAAACACTTGACATTCCATTAATGTTTCGCGATATTTTCCTTATTTCATCAAATTGTAAAAATATGTCAAATAAACAAAACAACCTGTCGGATATGTTCACATGTAAATATGTCATTACGATGGCGGTTCGGAAACTTTTTGCCTATCAATGAAAGAGAATAGTTAATTTTTCAAACAAAAAAAAAATATATATATTTTTTTTCAGCATAATCTCCTGTCAACGTCATTTGACTGAAAAATGTAAACAAACAAACAATTTATCAACAAATTATATTTATTTTGAAAATGTAATATTTTCGAATTCTCATACAGCCTGTTTTTGTAAAATTCTAAACGAACGAATTCGAGTGACTTACGACCAAACTCCTTGGTTTTGAAAAATATGTCATTTATTTTTGTTTTGAATCAAAAAATATTTGTTTACATAAACAATGGTTTGGTCGTAAGTCACTCGAATGCGTTCGTTTAGAATTTTACAAAAACAGACTGATAATAAAATTGAAAAACATGAATGAAAATATATCAAATTTATATTTCTATCGCTTCCACATCTTTCCTATAATTGAGCCATTGCCATTGCCCAGCAGGCAGATTGAGTAAATTGAATACGGGAGGACATTTACTAAAGAACAATATCGAATTGTATGGGTTATTTTTAAAAACATAATTTGTCAAATTCATATTGACACTAGTATTACGTTGGAATGAAATTAGCTGGGATTTGTTGTTACCTTTTATAGTTGTGCCATGCTTTTGAACGTACTGTATTATGCTATCAATTCAATGGAAATACCTTTTGTAACAAAAGTGAAAGAAGAAGAGTGTTAACATTTCATTTTGTACAATCAATAAGAAGAAGAAGCTTTTTATTATTATTGTTCATTATAAGAAAAAAGATTTTTTCCTAAGAAGTGGAGAAAAAATGAAATAATTTAAAGAACTTTTGACGGCATTTCAAAAATAATTCGGCCTAAATGCAACGCTAAACGGACACCGAATTTTTTAACGCAAAGAACAGAAAAAAAGCAAGAATTATAATGACCACTATGTCATCAATGCACAAATTTTATTTTTAAACGGAAATTAAGTTCTGTAAATGTTCTAAAATTATAAATTGCTTATAACAAACGAAAGTCTGTACACAAAACCAGTAAAGCAATTATTCATGTGATTAGATACTACATTGTGTATATTGAAAATGGTTTCCAAAATGAATGACGACAATTGTAAGTTGGAAAGAATTTAGAATTTGGCACACAAGCACACGCACTCACACGGCAAAAGATTTTGTTCGAATTCATGGAGGAAAATTAATGTAAATATAATATGTTGTAATGTTAATATTATTATTTATCAAGGAAACATTTTGTGTGTATTTTTGAAAAGCGTTGGCTATTCCATCTGAATAGGGCCTAACACGGTGAAGGTCTAGCTAATCCCATTTTTCTACTGACGGGACGTCTGCACTAAGGTTATTGTTATTTTGACCTGCTTGATAGGTCTTTAGGTCTCTTCCTATAGATCATGATCATGAACATTCTTTCAGTGTTTGATATGTTGGTCTGTTAATGCACAGATTTCATGGATGCCTTCAATCATCACATTATAATGGTAGGGATGTCCCAGGAGGTGCCGGGCAAAGATCTTAGAATGTTGTTCCTAGCCTAGTGCGTTCACACGATAATCGGATTGATTGATACGGAACGGTCCGCCTTAAACTCGACCAATGATTTTAAACTCAGCGACAGCTATACCATATCAACTTGTTGTAGTCGACTGTTATATTTCCAACCTTGCCATATGCTGAAGCTTCCAAAATGTTTTTTTCGAACTTGTCGACGCTTGTTGTAGTCGACAGTTATATTTCTGTCCTTATCCTGTGCTGAAGCTTCCTAAATGTTTTTTTTCGTTAGGTTATTCTGGATGGTGTCCTAACCCTTATAAGATTCAATTCTAAAAAAAGGATACGAACAGAAATAGCATTAATTATTTTCAATATATGTATATTTCAATTAAAATTTTTATTATATTTGTAACAATCAATATGTCTTTTTTTTTTAGAACCTAAATAAGACTAATATGCCCTATATAAGCTTGTGAGGAACTAATTGGATTTATCTACATTTGCTGCAAATCCATTGTGAAAATGTTCACTGGTACGGAATCGCAAAAAACAACCTTTCTGGAACAGACCAAGGCAGCCAGAGAAGAAAGGGCTCTCGAAAAGAAACGAACAGAGGCTGCCATTAAAATACAATCGACGGTAAAAGGATTTTTGTGCCGTAGGCGTTTTCAAAAACGTATAATGTATGTTAGATTGAAATATTCAAAAGAGCTATGCTATATTTGAATAAAATTTCATTTTTGTTTTAGAAATGATTTTGATGCCCTTCTTCCCATCAATCCAGCTGGTGATGAACAAAAGGAAAAAATCGATTTATATACCGCATCTGTGGTGTATCCAGTATTTCTGCGTTTCTTGACACATTACAAGTTATACAAAGATAATGAAGAAACTAGAGAACGTATTGAACGTTTGTGTCGCTACTTGAATAAGTCAATGGAAAGTGATTCGCCGAAGCTTTCATATGCCACTTTGTGTTTGCAAAAAGATAAAAGGTAAGAAGTAATTATTATACAGAAAATAAAGTAAATAAATTAAAAATACGACAAAAGTAGACATAAACAATAAAACAAATAAGAAGGAAAATTGCAATTGAAAAAATAAGTCATATAGTGTTGGCTAATAATAATATGTAATTCAAGGTTTAAATTAAAATTGCATTTTTTATATATTTTCAGCTTGGCATGGATAGCACACATTAAGACTCTACTGAACTTTATTCTTCAGTTACTGCAGGATATCAAACCAGGTACTTATTTTTGGTACTCCTAACATATGTCACAAGCACAATATGATTTGCGTATTCTCCTTTCTCACTTATATTCTTTTATTTCAGAAAATCATGCTGATAGCATATCATTGGCTCTATATTTGCATACATTGGTGGTATTCACATCTCCAAAATCCTGGGGTATTTTAAGAATAAAACAATTTGAAAAAGTACAAGCGGCACTACAGAAAATATGCTGTAACATACAAGGCAATCTAATACAAAATGATTTCTTCAAAATAATGAGGGTAAGCTCGGAAATATATATACAATTCCACCCATTGATATATTAATATATTAATTACTATCTACTTTTTTATCACCTATAGAGTCTACTCCTCAAGGGCACGGCACGTGAAGATTTGTCATTGAAACCTGTTTCATTGATTGCCATAATGACATTGTGTACGCGACCATTGATAGATGGTGATTTTTCACGTAATATTATGGCACAATTTCTAATTGAAATATTATCAGTGCCGGCACTGGTTTATCATTTACATGCTGTGGCTCCGCAATGCATTGAACAAATGTCTTCAATGTGGATTTTAAAGCGGGCGCTAAACATATCTGAGGATATGAATTGGTTTAAGGACTATGGCAGCAGCATGCCTGGCACCAAAAGCTTGGCTTTACTGGGGAACATAATTAATCTCTTTAATATAGAAAATGTGACCGAGGCAAAACTTTTGGCCTATCCTCTACTGACGGTAAGCAAATCTGAAAAATTGTGCAAACTACATTTTCTAACATTTTCTCTCCCAACAGAACACTGTTACAATGCTTTTTGAAAATATACCCAGTACATCCTCGTCAAAGGGAGTATTTACACAGTGGCATGAATTATTGGGTTGGCATACACCATCCAAGGATCCGGCACAAAACCAATGTGTTGCCATCATTAAGAAACAATTTCACATGTTGTGGGCATTGCGCTGTCTACAAATTCTATTGGGCGATCTACTCAAAGAGATCAATGTAAACTTTGAGCGTATTGAATTTCAAGCACCCAGTTTAGCCTCAACAAGTAATTTGTTGCGTAGAGCTCTTGATCGCAGTTCAACTCGTACGAATCTAAATAAATCCTCTAAGGTGGCATGGCGTAAATTAGATTCTCCCGAAGTAATACAAGTGTCACGCATCTGTGCCATGTATTATTCAGCTCTGAATACCTTGTCACAGCTGAAATTGGAAATATTGACAGGTATTTGTTTTGTGGACAAAGTGTTCTATGATTTGTGGTTGTTTTTGACATCGATGGGACCTAATTGTGCTCTCAAGGAATATTTGGAATTATTCAAATGTGAAGATTTTCAAAATAAGCCTCAAACACAAATGTTGATGCTCTTTTGTGATTGTATGACTCATTATGTAACGTAAGTGGTGAATGGAGATGTCTTGTTAATATAAAATAGAGTTTTTGAGTTGTGTTTTTTTTTCTTTTTCTAGCGTACTTGATGAACACGAAATGTACACCGAACAGAAATGTTTTCAACTAAACGATTTTGTTATGCTGACATATTTTTTAAATAATATTTTATATCGTATCATAAATGAAGATATATTTGGTAAGTATTGAAAATAAGAAAGCAAAACTTTTTATAAACAAAAATGTCATCGCATGCACAATTACTTACATCAAAATGAACTTTTTTTCTTATATTCTGTCAATATTTCAATTTCCCATTTCAGGCAATACAAAAAACATCACACAATCCCCAGTCTTTGTATCATTGCACATGCTAATGTTGTGTCTATATAAGCGGGATTGTCGTCGTCGTTTCACTCCACCCAATCATTGGTTAATACCCGAAGTTAAACCCTCAACTTTTATTAATGATTTGGAAAAGGGTAAACGTCATGCCGTTATATTGTTGCAAAAAATGCCTCACATTATACCTCATGAAGATCGTGTTAAGCTATTTCGTAAATTTGTTCAAAACGAAAAAGCGGTATTGGGCCTAACCGAATCAGCATGTGCCTCGCCGCGATCCGCATTGATTGTTGTACATCGTGAACGTATTGTAGAGGATGGTTATCGTCAGTTGGCCGCTTTGAAACCACACGCTTTAAAGGTAATTTTTTAATATTTTATATTAGACAATTAGTTTGAAATTTATAGAAGGAGAGATAGGAGAGAGAGAGAGAGAGAGAAGAAATGTACAACATGAGGTGATGAAGATTCTTCCCTGTTTGGTTGCTTCAGAGAGAACAATCCTAACCACACATTGTGAATTGAACTTTCCCACCCAGAGAAGGATCTGGAAGATCTAGAGAAACAGGTCCAACGATATAAAGGTTATCCAGCAGGTCAGAATAACACTGATGTAATTGCTGACTTATTTATGGAATACATAGTGAATGCCGTTCTCGGAGATTCCCTCACCCCGGTACGTCAGGACCACGTCGGATTTATTTAAAAGCCCTGCTAACCTGTCTCTGAACTCGCTTGGGGGGAGAGTACCAGATTATCTTGTATTATTTAGACATTCGAGTGCAGTATTAATACTTCGAACTATGTTTCTTACAATTGGAAAATATTGTAGTCTTAAAGTAAAATGCTTAGCAACGCCATCTACATTCCAATATATTTATCAATTTAGCTATTTTATCTACATTATGTAAAATATCTAATCTTTATTTTTTGTATTGCATACCTTTAGGGCGTAATACGTGTACGTTTCATCAATCAACAAGGTCTCCACGAAGCTGGCATCGATCAAGATGGTGTTTTCAAAGAATTTCTCGAAGAGACAATAAAACGTGTATTCGATCCGGCATTAAATCTTTTCAAAACCACCTCAGATCAACGACTCTATCCTTCGCCCATATCCTATGTACAAGATAATCATTTGCAGCTGTTTGAATTCGTGGGTCGCATGTTGGGCAAGGCTGTCTATGAAGGCATTGTCGTTGATGTACCATTTGCATCATTCTTCCTTTCGCAGCTTTTGGGCCAGACACATCAGGCCCTCTACTCCTGTATGGATGAGTTGCCATCATTGGATGCTGAACTGTATAAAAGTCTGACATTTATTAAACACTATGAACATGACGTGGCCGATTTGAATTTAACATTTTCCGTGGACCAAGATGTTATGGGTAAAATTGTTACCCATGAATTGCATCCGGGCGGTAAAGGACGTGCTGTGACCGATCACAATAAATTAGTTTATATACATTATATGGCCTATTTTCATATGAACACTCAGATACGTGAACAGACTCAGGCATTCAATCGTGGTTTTCGAAGTATTGTCAATCCGGAATGGCTGTCGTTGTTTTCGCCGCCCGAATTGCAACGGTTGATATCAGGCGATACGGTCCCCTTGGATTTGAAGGATTTACGTAAACATACCCAGTATTATGGTGGCTTTCATGATTCACATCGTGTCATCGGTTGGTTGTGGGATATATTGGCTAAAGATTTCACCGAAGAGGAAAAGAAATTGTTTTTAAAGGTAAGAAAACAATAGAATGCAATAATGTTTCAATATTGTTATATGCCATTTTTTCTAGTTTGTTACCAGCTGTTCAAAGCCCCCACTATTGGGTTTTGCCCATTTGGAACCACCCTTTTCAATACGTTGTGTTGAAGTGGGCGATGATGAGGATACTGGCGATACCATTGGCAGTGTTATTCGTGGCTTCTTTACAATACGAAAAAAGGATCCCCTAAATCGTTTACCCACCTCCTCGACCTGCTTTAATTTACTCAAGTTGCCAAATTATCAAAAGAAATCAACGTTGAGAGATAAATTACGTTATGCAGTTACCAGTAATACCGGTTTTGAGTTATCTTAATTTGAGAAGAGGTTGAGGATGCAATTTTCAATTATCCCTTTATTTTATTTTGTTTTTTTTTTGAAACCCACATATCAATATTCGACTTTGAATATTTCTTTTCAATTAGCTGTAGGTTTTTTTTTTCTAATTCACACAAATGTTAATAACTATTAACATATTTGGGTAATTATTATAAGGCGAAATTCAATAACATTTCCATAACCTCAATATGGTGGCTAAATCGAAATGAAATGAAAATTTAAAATTTACGAGACGAAAATTACTTATAATATAATTTTTTGATTTTCATATTCGCAAAAAGGTCCACAAAGACACCTTTCTTATGATTTTTTTAAGAGAAGAAAATAGTCTTCAAAGATTTCATTGTTTTGTGAACCATTAAATATAAATGCTATGGACTATCAGGCGGTATACAAAAGTAATTTAAAATTTATTTTGAATTTTGCTTAAAATAATTAACAATTTATATCTTTATGTTTCTTTTTTATTATGCTATTTTTTTTTCTTGTTAATTTATAATAACTGTGCATAATTTTTCACCAGTCAATCATGTTTTTGTTTTAATGGTCACTTCAATTCTATTCTATTAGTAACTGTGATATTGGATGATTTTTTGCTTTTCAACAAAAAGAATATATAATTGGATTGAAAACCACATTTTGTTATTCGAAAAGAATATATCAACGAAATGATTGATTCGGATTGAAATTTTTAGTTAAAATTTATATTGATTTTTTACAAAAAAAAAAAAAAAAAAAAAATATTTATATAATATTGCCTATTTCTTTGTTTTTTTTTTTTGCTCTTCTTTAAATTTTAACACATTAATATTATTGTAGTCGTTGTATTGTGTAAAAACAAATCCATTATCTTGTAATTATACATTCACATACACACACAAAAGTAAAACGTTTAGCATACAATATACATAATCTTCAATATATACATACAAAATTAAATATGATCTAATATTATATTATAATTATGTATACACCGAAAATATTTTAAATAAAATACTAAAATGCTGTGTTTGTGTACGATAATCTATACTAATAAAAGAGTAAAGTGATTGACTGACTGACTGATTGACTGACTGACTGATTTAACGATTCATCAACGCCCAGACGAAACGGCTGAAGCTAGAATCTTGAAATTTTGGGTGAGGGTCACTCTTGGCCCAAATGTGACAGATAAGGCTGGGTTTTTGGAAATTCGTACTAGAAGGGTACGAAAAGTACTAAAAAGTACTAAATATGATATCATTTGTATTTGGCGAACCAGTAGAGCTAGAACTCTGAAATTTGGATTGAGGGTCACTGATGGAGTGTAGGATAGATGTACCAAAGGGTTTTTGGAAATTCGAACTACAACTATCCGAAATGTACGAAAATGTACTAAATTTGGTACAATTCTGTAGCATGAGAACGGATAGAGCTAAAAACTTGAAATTTGGAATGTGAATTAGGGTTGGGAAGTAGGGTCGATATAAGGAGATGGTTTTGAAACCGTGTACTCATGTTTACGAAAAGTACTATATGGTACTATATTTGGTACAAATTTGATTTGGAGGTACAAATGGAGCTAGAATCCTGAAAATTGATATTAACATTACCGTCGGAGTATAGGATTGGGGTATGTACGTAGTTTTGGAAATTTGTTACTTATGAGTACGAAAAGTACTAAATCGTACTATAATTGGTACAATTTGGATTTGGGTGAACCGATAGAGCGAGAACAATAAAATTTGGAGTCAGGATCACTGTAGGGATGTAGGATTAGGGTCAGGATTCAGTTTAAGAAAATAATACTTATGGGTACTAAATGGTACTAAATTTGGAACAATTTGAATTTTAGGTGAACCAATAGAGCTAGAATCATGAAATTTGGAGTCATGTAGGAAGTTTTAGAAATTTGTACTAATGTGTACTAAATTTGGTACAATTTAAATTGTGGGTGAAGCGATAAAGTTTGAATCCTGAATTTTGATTCAGGATCACTGTGGAGGTGTAGGATTGGAGTATGTAGGTAGATTTGGAAATTGGTACTAATGTGTACTAAATTTGGTACAATTTGAATTGTGGGTGAACCGATAGAGTTGGAATCCTGAAATTTTGATTTAGGATCACCTTGGAGGTGTAAAATTAGGGTATGTAGGAAGTTTGGGAAATTGGTATTACTATGTACTAAATTTAGTACAATTTGAATTGTGGGTGAATCGATAGAGGTGGAATCCTGAAACTTGGTTTCAGGATCAGTGTGGGGGTATGATTGGGGTGTGTAGAATGTTTTAGAAATTCGTACTACTGTGTACTAAATTTTGTACAATTTAAATTGTGGGTGAACAGATAGAGTTGGAATCCTGAAACATGGATTTAGTATCACTCTGGGGGTGAATGTTTGGGTTAAGTAGGAAGTTTTGGAAATTCGTACTACTGTGTACCAAATTTGGTACAATTTGAATTGTGGGTCAACCGATAAAGTTGGAATCCTGAAACTTGGATTTAGGAACACTGTGGGGGTGTTGGTTTGGGCTAAGAAGGAGGTTTTGGAAAATCGTACTACTGTGTACTAAATTTGGTACAATTTAAACTATGGGTGAAGCGTTAGAGTTGGAATCCTGAATCTTGGATTTAGTATCACTGTAGGGGTGTAGGTTTGGGGAAAGAAGAAGGTTTTGGAAATTCGATCTATTGTGTACTAAATTTGGTACAATTTGAATTGTGGGTGAACCTATAGAGTTGGAATCCTAAAACTTGTATTTACGATCACTGTAGGGATGTAGGATTGAGGTAGGTAGGAAGTTTTGGAAAGTGGTACTACTGTGTTCTAACTTTGGTACAATTTGAATTGTAGGTCAACCGATAAAGTTGGAATCCTGAAACTTGGATTTAGGATGACTGTGGGGGTGTAAGAAGTTTTGGACATTGGTACAACTATGTACTAAATTTGGTACAATTTGAATTGTGGGTGAACCAATAGAGTTGGAATCCTGAAACTTGAATTTAGGATCACTGGTGGGGTGTTGTTATGGGTTAAGTAGGAAGTTTAAAAATCCGTACTACTGTGTACTAAATTTGGTACAATTTGAACTGTGGTTCAACCCATAAAGTTGGAATCCTGAAACTTGTAATTAGGATCACTATGGGGTTGTTGGCTTGTGATAAGAAGGAGGTTTTAGTAAGTCGTACTACTGTGTACTAAATTTGGTACAATTTAAACTATGGGTGAAGCGTTAGAGTTGGAATCCTGAATCTTGGATTTAGTATCACTGTAGGGGTGTAGGTTTGGGGTAAGAAGAAGGTTTTGGAAATTCGATCTATTGTGTACTAAATTTGGTACAATTTGAATTGTGGGTGAACCTATAGAGTTGGAATCCTAAAACTTGTATTTACGATCACTGTAGGGATGTAGGATTGATGTAGGTAGGAAGTTTTGGAAAATGGTACTACTGTGTTCTAACTTTGGTACAATTTGAATTGTAGGTCAACCGATAATGTTGGAATCCTGAAACTTGGATTTAGGATGACTGTGGGGGTGTAAGAAGTTTTGGACATTGGTACAACTATGTACTATATTTGGTACAATTTGAATTGTGGGTGAACCAGTAGAGTTGGAATCCTGAAACTTGAATTTAGGATGACTGTGCGGGTGTAGGATTGAGGTATGTAGGAAGTTTTGGACATTGGTACAACTATGTACTAAATATGCTATAATTTGAATTGTGGGTGAACCAATAGAGTTGGAATCCTGAAACTTGGATTTAGGATCACTGTGGGAGTGTATGTTTGGGTTAAGTAGGAAGTTTTGGAAATTCGTACTACTGTGTACTAAAGTTGATACTATTTGGATTATAATTAATTTTATCTAATTCATGATTTCAATTTGATTGCATGATGTAGGTAGTAATGGAAATTTTTACTTATGTGTTCTAAGTGGTACTAAATGTGATACAAATTGGATTTAAGTGAACCGATAGAATCCTGAAATTTGGAATTAGAATTGTGGTATGTGGGAAGTGTTGGAAATTCGTACTTATGATTGCTAAAGTAGGTAGTTATGGAAATTTATATTAATGTGGACTAACTGATACTCAATTTGGATTTGGGTGATTTTTTTTCAAAATAAGTATAACAAGAATACAAATGGTAAAAAATTACACCAAATTTAGTATAGAGGTAGATTTCTGTTGCGGTCGGAATGGGTGTGTAGGGTTGAGATACAGTAATATATTTGAGAACATACTATGGTACTCAATTGTTCTAAAATTTCAATAATGATCGATATAGGGTGGTTTTAAATACATCCCACATTCGCTAACGAAGTAGCGGGTATATGCTAGTAAAATATAAAATGGTTGTTTTGTTATAAATTTATGCTGTAATATCATGAGGGGTCTTCATGAGTATTTTGAAAAAAAATACTCTTTGGTTTAGAGATGACACCTGAAGACGACAGTATGTTCATGCAAATGTGGCTCCTGCATTAGTGGAATGTAGATACCAGATCTGATGAGGGTAAAGAGCAGTCGCAGTTGCAGCCTTACAAACATGCAGTTTTATCAACATTACGCTTAGCGCATTCTGTTGGTCACGACCGAGGGATGTTTCTCCAGCAGTATCTCTGGCAACACTGTCGTCTCGCGACAAGACTTTTTTGTTCGTCTTGAATGAGTTGAGGATTCGAAGACCGTCGTTTGCTTCTCAACCAAGTTCCGTGTTTTTTACATTCACAGTCAAGTTATAGACGCCAGCTTACAGAAAGGGGATCAATCACATTGATATTTTTCTTAGGGTAATCCCCAGACTATTTCCAAACTGAAGGTTTCGACGATCAATTTCGTCAATCAGGAAAATGATTTTTTAAAAACCGATCGACCGACAACTAATTAGGTCCACTGATGCACTCATCCAGATAAACACGATCAACGATTGTCAGTAGTAGCAGTTCGGTTCGGAAGCGTACAAGGTAAACGACTATGTGTGTCTCTTCGCTGCTGCTCATCCGAA